AATCTACGTGGTCATGAAGGTTGAACAAATGGCACAGAATATGTTATGGCGAATAATCTACTCTTCGAATTCATTTCTTTACATTTTTGTCTTTTTTCCTTTGATTTTGGCATTCTACGACATTGGTATCATTTCTAAATGTTTTCCTTGCAACTTATGGTATATTTTTGCTCATTTAGCAACTGTTTTTGCACGATTTACAGTATGGTTGAAACCTTTTTTTTTTTGGAAACGGCCGAAAATTCATGCGCGCGCGGATGTCATCCATATAATCAAATCAACATGGCCTAACTCACATCATGTCATACGCCACTTATGTTCATATTCCTGTAGTAGTCTCTTAGAATAGACTTGATTGTATTGATCATATTGTTATTGATGCCATACATTGTACCCTGTACAACTGTCGAGCAATAAAGTTCATTCATTCATTCATTTTCATATGTCACACTAATACAATTAATATGCATCTACCTCTGGAGAAAATGTCTAAAAGCTTTATATTAGAAGAGGAAAGAGAGATTATACAGATCCATAATTTATCTCTTGTGAATGACTCTCTCACTCTCAGACTTAGTTTATACATGTAAAAGACTCTAAGTTCCCATGTTAAGTCAAATGACTCAAAGTCTCTGCCTCGAGTCAGGAGACTCAAATTTTGAGTCAAATGACTCATAGTGCCTGTCTTGAGTCAGATGACTCAACCCCCCATCAAAATATTTGGCGTTTTATATTAATTCTTTTTTATTTTATTTTATTCACATTGATTTTTGAGCATTGGATAGGAAGCACTTGTTGTGCTTATGTGAATCCGCTGCTCATAAAACAAATGTAAACATAAAGATGACATAAAATATAACATAAGCATAAAATGAAAGTGGCTGGCGCACCAATACCTATAGCATAGCATTAATGAGATTGGTCAAATCTTCCAGAGTGATGAATATAGTTGAACACAATATGAAAGATATGGCAGTTAGTAGGGTATGGGAGGGAGGGGCTAGCCTGGGTACCATCCGGATTTTCGCTACACAACGCTCGAAAAAATCAGCGTTGCGTAGCGAAAATCCGGATGGTACCCAGGCTAGGGACTCCTGGGGCTACCTGTAAGAAGTAGAGTGCATAATGTGGCGTCATTTTTATATTAATGTACACTTGTTTTTTAAGTTTTTTTCTCTCTACTTCAGCGCCTGCCTCATACATGCAGAGTGTGTTTGGAGAAAGCAACATCAGGGATGATGATGATAATGAGTACATCAGGGGGACCCTGAACTACGCACCCAAGTATCCCTACTACAACTGGAGCCAACACCCACAGATCTAGGCATGGCTTTCTAAGGCCACACCAATTTAATTTGTTGGTTTTCAGATTCACCTCTTCATTTTTTTCTGATTGGAAAAAAAAAAGATTCTGGTTCTGAATCAAGTAAAAATGCTCATATTTTGCCCCCAACAGTTGAGGATAGTCCTTTTCTTCCTACTTCCTACAGCTTTGCCATCTACATCTCAATGCAGTGGTTTAATTCAAAATTCATTGTTAAAATATTAACCCAGCCTTCTGTGCTGACTTCATGGCTTCTACAATGTATTGTAGCATTTGTGGCTATGTAAGGATGCATAGACCTGTTTTTTTTTTTTCTGCCGTCGCTTCATATTTTTTATGAAAAAATCCAAGAACCAACAAATTGGTGTGGCCTAAAGTTGACTCTGTGGCTCAGTCAGTCAGAAGATCCAGAGGTCATGGGTTTGATTCCTGGTTAGACATTGTGTTCTTAGCAAAGGCACTTGACACGATTTTCCTCCCTCCATCCAGGTGTAAAATGGGTAAATAACTTTGGTTGGTGAGGTAAAAGGTGGTGGAAGGAGAGGGATGGGCTCTGCTTTCCTATCACCATGTACTGGTTACAGTGGATTAACAACCTACTGCCTCTTTACCATACCTACCTAAGTAAAAAAGTTAGGGGTTGCTAATTATTGCAGGTGGAAAGGTGGAGGTGAAAATTTGATCTGTATCTGTATCTGTATAGCCAGAATAACCGCCCTTTGGCGTAACAGTATAGCCAGTATAACCGCCCTTCGGCGTAACAGTATAGCCAGTATAACCACCCTTTGGCGTAACACACCAGCTTCTGTAACACACCAGCTTCGGTAAAATGATATGGACAGTGAAACACAACATATATATTTAAGGTATGATGTTTAAGATGTTTTTGAATGTAAGAATTATATTCCATGACTATATTTGATAATATTGAAGCTATATATTGCTCATAAATTCATAACTTTGTTGATATGGATGCTAGAATAGGTATTATGATTAAAGACACCAATAAACAATACTTGTTTTCAAGGCATTTACTTCCAACAGAAATGCAGACATTTAAGTACTGTATGTATATCAAGGACTTTCCTGTTTACAATGCTTCAAGGACAAAAAACAAAATCTTAAAACTGTACAAGCCCAGAGGTGGCACAATGGATACCCAACAAGTATAAAGAGTAGTTTGAAGCACCTACTTAAGGCCACACCAATTTAATTTGTTGGTTCTCGGATTCGCCTCTTCGTTTTTTTCTGATTTGCAAAAAAAAAAAATATGATTCTGGTTCTGAATCAACTGAAAAATGCTCATGTTTTGCCCTCAACAGTTGAGGAAAGTCCTTTTCTTCCTAGTTGTTACAGTTTTCCCATCTATCATTGCAGTGGTTTGATTAAAAGTTCAAAATTCAATGTTTAAATTTTAACCCAGCCTTTTGTGTTGACTTCATGGCTCATTTCGTAGCATTTAAGCCTATAATGGGATGCCTAGACCTGTTTTTATTTTTATTTTTTTCGCCCTGTCGCTTCATATTTTTTCTGAAAAAATCCGAGAACCAACAAATTAAATTGGTGTGGCCTAATGTAAACAAAATACAGCATACCACCTTTTTTTAACTGCTTTAAAAAAAAGTTATAAAAGAAAAAAAAAACGACTATTGAAAACAGTAGAATACTATGGTAATTTTGTGCTGTTGCTGATCTACATTTTGACACCTACATTGTATTGTTTCTTTAAGAATCTAAATAAAAACATAGCAGACTTTACTAGTGATACAAGTCCTTATGTTATCAATTGACAATACCATTGCACTGTTCAGATTATACAATGTACTTCTGATATAGGATGGAGCAAGAATTCATTTTACACATGTACCTCCTTGCTTTTACCAAAGAAGAGTTGCCAAGCTGACATTATCTTTAGACACAACATCAGGTTCCTTACTCCTATTGGAACTAAAAATCTTGAGTCAAAACACAAGCAAAAAGCTGGTTCTGTATCATTTTATGACCCTATAAAAGACTAGGGATCCCCCTCTTTGAGAGTCAGACACTCCCAAAGTTTGCAGTAAGTGTCATTTCCAAGATGATACCACATCTTCAGTAGGGGTGTACAGGGTACATTTCCTGGTGTTCAGCTGTCATTTTCAAGATGATACCACATCTTCAGTAGGGGTGTACAGGGTACATTTCCTGGTGTTCAGCTAGTTTATGACCCCATATGAGCACAGGGATACCCCCTCTCTAAAGAGTCAGACACTCCCAAAGTTCTGTAGTAAGTGTCATTTTCAAGATGACACCACATCTTCAGTAGGGGTGTACAGGGTGCATTTCATGGTGTTCAGCTAGCCTGTGGTGCTGGTGGGTTTGTTATCTTCTTCCTGTAGCAATATAAAAATATTAGTTATCAGTACATGGTAAAAGAAACAGCATACACAATACTCCTTTTGGAGTCCAACACCCCTGGCATGTTATATATGTATGCAATGTATCCAATTTCTAATCTTTTCAGCCTCTTCTAATGCCTGTTATTGGTTATTATTACCTATAACTCACCAGTAAGTGAGGGACCACAATTTGCAGTGTCATAAATTTACAGTAAAGCACATTAAAAAAAATACCTTCAAAAGTGCAAAAAATTCACATTAGATTTGGCAAATACTCTGCAGAACTTCAAACTTTCTTGGTCAGGACTCGTTTTGTCACTACTACTATGGAAGCAAATGATCTTTCCCCCATATTCCATCTCTCAGAATGACGTTCCACGCTGAAAGCTTCTTTCCTAGAACTATACTATGGAACAAGCTACCCTGTGAATGCTTCATAAATAAGCACAACCTTAATTTTTTAAGTCTAAGGTAAACAAAAATCTGTCTAAAGTACAGTACATTAATGTAACCCAAAACATGTTAGTGGTTCGTATGAATCTTGTTTTGCAGTTAAAATTGAAATAAATCATAAAAAAGGAATTTGCCCACTCTACCTCCATGCACAATCTCAGGTTATTTGGCTGAAGAATGACAGAGTTGAACCCATTTACCAAATGGGGGAAGAAGAAACATGAGGGAAAACAATATATTTCATCCATACCATGGTATGGAGTGAAATACGAATAAATTAATCTCTGCCACCTCACCTCTCGAGATCTGTCCTTGCTCCCCCGTGACCTACTGGTGTCCATGTCCTCAAACTTGTCATGTTCCCACTGGGGGCTGAACCTTGACCCCCGACCTCTCCCTCCGAACCCCCGCCCGCGACCTCTGAACCTCGGCCCTCTGGGTACGAAGCCTCGCCCCCGGCCGCGCCCACGTTCCCGATCAAAGGACGCTCCACGGAGAGGAGGGTTGTCTCTGTCATCATGCTGAAGTTAGGAGGAACAAACAGTTTTCATTGTTAAATGAACACGATGAATTTAGTATTTCACGTCAATGTATTGACACTTTGATTTTGCCTGGCACTAATATACATGTATCATAGTTCACTCAATGTCTGTGGTAGCAAAAGTTCACTGTCTGAGAAAAATGGAGGTGTACACAGAGCTATGTGTATATCATATGTTCACAATGGTGGCAGGTGCAGATAAAAGAAAGTCAGCAGATTATGTAATGATAAGTTTGTGGTACCGAAGTGACCCTGAAAAACACAAACATATAAAGTACTGCAGAAAAATTAGGAATTTCATTACTTTGTGCTGTTGTCCTTTTATTAATAGTTTACTAACAGTAGCATTATGACAACAACAAACTTAAAATGTAAGTGCAGTTACACATGGCAGACTTCATTTTTTGGGGGTCCTCTCTGTTATGACTTTTATACTATTATCTTTCAGAATCAGATTCACAGATAGAATATAGTACAAACCTCATAATAGTAAGCTCCCTTGGGTGTGGCCTCTGGGTCTTTCTGCCAATCGTCTTGGAACTTGTCTGGCCGGCTGGAGAAGTTGGGCAGGCCCCTTCCGCGGCCCCTCCCCCTGAAATCACCCCTTCCCCGGAAATCGCCTCTTCCTCTGAAGTCGCCTCTCCCTCGGAAGTCGCCACGTCCTCGAAAGTCACCGCGGCCCCGGAACCCTCCCCCTGTGGTCCCCCCTCCCACGCCAGTCCCCCCTCCCCCTGTACCCACCCCTTTCCCCGGAGTCCCTCCGGAAATCCGTTCTGCGGTCTCCCGAGCGGTCGCGCCTGTCGTCTTCCGGGTGGTGGTCGCTGTAGTAGTCGCTCTCGCTCTCCTGTCGCCTGCGGACCAGGGTCTGCCTCAGGTCGTTGGGATCGCGTACTCTTCTCCCGTCGTCGTGCTGGGCTCCTCGCTCGCTGGACCCGCTTCGGTCGAACTTCCTCTCCCGCCTTCTGTAGTCGTCTCGCTCGGAGTGACTGTAGCCACCTCGCTTCTCAGCATGGGGTTCCGCATCTGGTGACCGTCGGCTGTCGCCGTGAGAAGTAAAGCGATCGCTGAGGCTTCTTCGAGGCGGTGATGCGGACCTTTTTCTACCATGGCTCCGGTCCTCTTGGCTTCTGGAGCGGCGTCGAACTCTACGAGGATCTTCCGCACCTTGAGATTCCAGCCTTCGCCACACGCTGCTCTTCCCCTCGCCACGTCTTGGCTCTTCCTCTGGCTCATCGTCGTCTAAGATCTGGATGATCCTCCTCTCTGTCTTCACTTCCGGCGCGGCTTCAGCCTCTGTTACGGGTACGTGGGACTTGAACTCGGGGCGCTGGGATATCGGACGCAGGCCCTCGTTTGGCTTGCGCGGGACCACCACGGTGTCCGGATCGATGGCCGGTGACTGATGGACAGTGCGGTGGATCGTCATCTGTACCATCTCCAAGTCCACATCCTTGTAGGAGAGGTGCTCTTCCTTCCGCGCTTTCTTCTTCTTTTCCTCTTTGACAGACAGCACGATATCTTCCTCAGGAGATTTTTCCTTGCCCTTCCTGCTGTATTTTCTTGGAGGACTTCTGCTGTCGTGTCTTCCCTTCCTATCTGGGGATGAAGCTTGTGCTTTCTTTCCATGTTTCTTACTCTCTGCGTGCTTCTTCTCTGTTGCCTTCTGAGCTTTGCCATGATGGGTCTCCTCTCGAGAGTGGTCTCGTTTCTTCTGCCCTTTTGCTTTGTGATGTCTGTCGTCGGATGTATCCCTCTCCTTGCCTTGACCTTTGCCAGCTGACTTCTTCTTCCCTTCAAGCGCAGGTTTCCTTGTGTCTGAACTTCGCGATCTTTGGCTGGCTTCCTCGGTGGACCTTCGTGAAGCCTTACCACGCGGTGGGGGTTCGTCGTGTTGTGCTCTTGGAGGTGAGCCTTGCCTGAATGCTGCCTCCCTCTCTCTCACAGCTGCAGGCTTGGCCAGCGGATATTCTCTTCTCTCCGCGCCATGTTCAGGATAGTCTCTGTAGGGGGATCTAGAGAAGCGCTCTCTCCCCTTTTCCTCTCGTAGAGGCCACGCTTGTCTTTCTGTCGGCTTCAGCTCCTGCCTTCTGTAGTCGCCACCTTCTTCGTACGGCGAGTTTCTCTCCCCTTGGTGTATTGGCTCCCTGTCGGGGTAGTCATCTTCTATGAAGGGGATGTTGCGCTCAGCGACTTCGTGAGGCAGTCTGTCGTCTTGATACGGCCCTTCGTTTCTCTCCCACGACCGCCCTCTGTTTCCCCGGGGTGGCTCGGGCCGACCTTCGTCGAAACGTGGCGACCGATCCCAGGAGCGTCTGCGAGGCTCTCTGTCGAAATCGGCATCGCGGAACCTCTCCGGAGTTATGGCTTGTCCTCGCGGCTTCTTGACATCATAGATATCCTCGTAGCTCCCCGTGCGCTTTCCGCCCAAACTGGCAGGTCTGGGAGACAGGTTCCTCGGCGGGTACCCCCCTCGTTCTGCCGAGAAGCTCCCCCTCTGTCGGACAGGAGACTTCCACCTTCCCTCAGGTTCAGGCCGAACATCCTCGCCATCGCTGCGGTACCCCTCCCCACGCTCCCACTGACTCCTGGGTGGGGAGGGGGGCAGCGGCTTCTTCTCCACCTCCTCTGGTGGGTACGTCTGCTCCCATTCTTCTGGGTGGGAGGTGATTCTCGGCGGGGGGCTAGCTCGGGCGTCGCGGCCTCTCGATCGTGATCTGTGTCGTGATCTGGATCTGTGCGACGCTCGTCTTGTGTGCCGCGGGGAGCGAGATCTTGATCTGTGGCGGGGCTTGGTTCTTGGCGAGTGCGAGCGCGATCTCTTCGGGGATCGGGATCTCCTGGGAGACCTGGATCGACGCGGTGAGCGGGATCGTCTCCGAGATCTGGATCTAGATCGGGAATACGACCTTGAGCGTGACCTCCGGGAGTACCCCCTGGCAGGTGGGAGTGGTCCTATTCTGCCCCGCCCCCTCCATCCCCTGCCACGCCCCCGGCCGCGCCCACGGAACGGACGAATCGGGGAGGATCGTCTCCGGTAGGGAGAATGGCGCCGACCTCGGCTTCGCGATCTTGACCGGGACCGCGACGAATAAGATCGTGACCTGGATCGGCTGAAGAGAAAACAAACTCAGTCAATTATACGGAGACTTAACTTCTGGATCTGATTCGATATATAGAGAGAAACATTGAAATTCAAAGCATTGTATGCTGTACACATGCTATCACATGTACTACAACAGCTGGATTGTACTACAACAGATGATGATGATAGTTAATTACCTACATATTAATCAAACTAACTTCTAGTGACATGTTTGCTTTTTCTCTTAGGCCACACCAATTTAATTTTATGGATGACATCCTCTGAAGACCCCCAAACTAGTGCGCGCGGGCGAAAAAAATAAAAATCCGGCCAAAAATAAAAATGCTACAAAACCACAGGAATACAAACCTGGTATTGTGAATTTGGCGCATTACATAGCGACGTATACGACAGGCCGGCACATGCTGACTTTTTGTGGAATTTATGAATCGACACTGCTGTACGTATGTACTGAGTTCTTGAGTCTTGGAGCTTCGGTAGCCTGGCTGCCGTCAACCAGAGTTATCACCACCATGCACTACCCAGGCCTAAAGCCAGGCCAGAGCCTCGGAATACGTGATTCTTTTTTTTTTTTTTTTTGAGATCGGGCGAAAATCATCCATAAAATTAAATCGGTGTGGCCTTAGGGACTTCAACTTTGATATACCAGTCATGCATGTGATACAAAATGCATGATTTATTTACAATTACAATGTGCAAGTCCAGTTACTTCAACTTGTGGTCTTAAAAAGCTATCTAGAGAGTGTTTTACATGTATCTTATCAAATATTCATGTCTGGTTGCACCAAATTATGACACTTTGATTGTACGGAGTCTTTGAGTTGCACATTTATAAGTAGCCAACATGTCTGTACATGTAACGTGTTACATGTATTTATGTAGCTCAAGTTCAACCACACAAATAAAGGAGGTTATAACTTATATCTTTATCATACATAGTGCAAGCTAGCTTTGGTTGCACCAATTGCATTTTGGTTGCACTAAATTAAACTGGATCTTTGGTTGTACATAGATGGCCATTATACATATGTACAAGAAGTTTTCACTCTCTTGTAAAAATATGCATGATCGAGTTTAAAAAAAATATCTTGAGCTACATGTACACTGTACAGGGATGTTTTTACCCACGCACAAATCACCTACCTCCCTTTCCGCTTTCTGCCCTTTCTGGCAGGAGATCGGGATCGTGCCATTATTTACGGATCACGCACAGATGCACAAACACAGGGATCGTCTGTGGAGAATTCTGTCGACAGTGGATCCGGGTCGGACTGGTTGAAGCGTGGTCGCCCTCCCCACTCTGGAAAATAAAAACACCACCAAAATCAGCAAAACGAACGCAAACCAGCCACAAAAACGATTGAGAACTGGATAACTGTAGCTGCTATGATTTGCACGGGGACTTACCTATCCAATGGCAGCGGGATTTCTTTAAAACAGAAGAAACTTGGAGAAACCTAGAAAAGACCGCAAAATTTGGCAGCCATCTTGTCTGGTACGGAGGATAGATATCAGCCAATCAGAGAAGTCGTAGCAAATCGGTGCTGGGATGCCGAATGATGATAAATAATCTTTTCAAAACTCAAGTATCAGATTTCATCGATATTCTATGATATTGTTGTAAAATATTGTTATATTGATCCACACAAAACTTGTCACTTATATTAATTGTAGATTGTAGAATTAATAAAAAAAAGTCATCTATAAGGGCGCCTCTGATTTGCTGCAAGGTTGAGACTAGTCTATTAGAAATATAGGTACATTAGAAATATCGTCAAATTATTTTGCAAACTTTAACGAATTCTTTTCGATTAAATATAGTATTATGCCAAATAATTTATATTAATGTAAAGTAATTTACTGTATTTACTTTACTGTGTGATTAATTAATTATTTAAGGGACAAGTAATTCAAACAACTCCCTAATATATAGTAGACTATTCCAGTTCGCCTTTGTTTTGAAATGCGCGCTTAGCGTGTAAAGAGAGGTCGCGCCGGCCCACATAGACATTTTATTATGCAGAACTAGTCAGTTGCAAAGCCGGTTTTCTGGCAAGTTTCCTCTCTTTGCTTCGTCAGAATCAGAACACCGAATGACAGACAAATCGCCAGCTTCTTGAAGGTAAGTTCGCGAAGGGGAAACTTTAGCGGGAAGTTTTTGGTGCACTGTCTTTGTCTCTGGTGTTGTAGCAATAGTTCCTTTGTTTTCGTCCATGTGGTGTTGATATAGTATGAATTAATCAACACCAGGTGTTACCTATTTATGAAATCTCTTTGTACGTTTTTGTTGGCTTAAAAAATATCTCACGTTGTCACGTACACATTTTAGAGAGATCTGTTTTTACAGTTTGGAGAAAAGAAATTTATTGGAATTAAGGTACCAGGTGTTGAAACTCTCACACCTGGAATTTTGGGTTAGAGATTGAAACGATTGTTTGTTTTATGTATCTGGGCCAATTGTACTGTGTCAACAAAGACAAGGAACTACGTACTGTGCTACAATTGAATTGGGCCATCCATCCTATTCAAACAATTGAGAGCAGGGAGGTTAAAAATCTAGATTTTTTATCTTTGACAGAGCCAAGTAGAGCCATTCTCTAACGTTACACCAAGGAGGTCATAAAATTTAAATCTTTGAGTCCCAAGGGTTAGATTTGGTTGCAAATTGTACTGTCTACATAATTTATTAGAAAGTAGCACAAGGAAGTTATTGTGGTTAAGACAAAGGGTTGTAGTCTGTATCTGTATAGCCGGTATAACAGCCTTTCGGCGTAACACACCAGCTAGTCAGTGATTTTACATTTAGTAGTATGCATTTTTTTAAAGTTACATTTCAACTATGCTTAGCCTGCATGTTCTTGCAATTAGAATGTATATGTGAACACAGTTTTGGTCCCTATAAATGAGGGCCTGTATGGGGGGTCCAGACAATGCTTTACGCTGAATTCGGAAACCTCTCGATTACGCTTTACGATAAATTCCAAGTGGCTACAACGCATTACGTAGAATTAAAACGCCAAATACGCTCTACGCAAAAATATTAGAACGGTCCATCTACGCTCTACGTAGAATTAAAACAGCCGATTACGCTCTACAGAAAAGGGCTTGCGGGTCCCCACTATGAAGTATCTTACCAGAACCATTGCTGTGCAGCTATGCAGAAAAAAACAACATGTATTTCGAGCGATATCTTTTGTTTCTTTTGTTCATGATATCCTTTGTACTTTTAACATTATTACAATGTACCAGACAATTGTGTCTGTTAACTTTGCTGGTACTCGTGTTACACAGTGTGTGTGGCTTAACCTTGAGTCAAGTGTACAAACATGTATTCCCGTAGGCTAAGGTGTAACTTCAAGTCAAAAAATGAAAAGGTAAATATGCAGTGTTCTCTCCAATGCTATTGAGCATATTCTAGTATTATAAGTGAATGAATGAAAGACCTTTATTGTACGTTTGTGCTCTAACAAGCTAAGTACAGGTCATGGATAAACAGGGAAAAAGAATACAACAATGACACTTACAAACTATACATACTAATATGTGGTCTAGTATTTACAGGTTCAACTTCTTCTCGCTTCTTGAGGCAGTTAATTAATAATTAGATGTACGAACATATTGAGCTAATGATACATGGTTTATAAAGTTTCATATATGGCCCCCTATGCTGTGATTTGGACCCATATGATGTGATTTTGATAAATCTTGCAAGAAAATGAAAATATAACTTTAGAATAAAGCTATAGTAAAGGGGAAGATTAACTTCACAAAATCTGTCCCTTAATAAGTGAGAAATACTAGTAGTGTCTCAGGGGGTTATCATGTAAAAACTTCAAATCAAAGAATGAAAAGGATAATATGTAACTTTTTAGGCTAAGAGGTTGATGAATATCATTTTTCCAACATACATGTAGTATATAGGCCTCAGCTGAAATCACAGATCATGTGAAAAACAGTGGAATTTTTTGTACAGATAAAAATCTGAGATAACCTTCGAATTCACTCTGCAATTAGACAACCATATGGGAATATCTGTCTACATTTACAAGTTACAAGAAGTTATAAATTCTATTGCTAAATTTCTCCTTCAGTAGAATTCAGTAAAATACTAAAATCCGGAAGTCCAAACCTAAAAGCATAATTTTCTCCAAAAATTATTACTTTTTTTGAAGCGTGCTAGAGCTAAGAGAACACCCAAAACATTGATACTATCAACAGTTTGGAATTTGTCCTTTTTTCTAGTTTCTGAGGCACACCCATTTTTGTACTTCAGTACATAAAAAACCCAAGGATTAGTTCGTTGTTCAACAATGAAAAAACTCGTAACATGGCATTACATGGTTTCCTCTTTAATTATGCACTTTAAAAGATTTACTAGAATGAAGGTTGTGTCGGGCCTTGACGAAAACAAGGACTCCTACTTATATAATTATGTTGTCACTGTCTGACTGTGTTCTTATGAGGGCCTGCAAGCCCTTTTTCGTAAGGCGTAATCAGGCCGTTTTAGACTTCGTAATTCGTAGGCAGCCTCCGCAAAAATCAACGTAATTCGTAATTGGACATTAGCCGCAAATCGTAAAGTCGTAATTAGCTCTGAGACTTTAACGTAATTCGTAATAGGCGGCGAAAATTTTGCGTAATTCGTAATCACTACCCCCCCTTGCAGGCCCTCTCTTATGTTTAAGACTGAGAACTGTGTACTGCGAATTGATTTATTTTTGACAACTTATAAGTTGTTGGTTAGGACTGGAAAGGTTTTTCCTGTGTTTTTACAGTGAAACAGTTTAAGTTTGTATAAGGCCATACCAATTTGATTTGTTGGTTCTCGGATTTTTTCAGACAAAATATGAAGCGACAGGACGAAAAAAAGATAAAAAAAATAAAAACAGGACTAGGTTTCCTGTTATACATGTAGCCCCAAATGCACGTGCTATATATGCAATAGAAATCATGAAGTCAACACAAAAGCCTGAATTTATATGAACGTCAAACATTTCGAACTTTTACTCAAACCACCGTATTGAGAGATGGTAAAACTGTACTATAGGAACGAAAGGACTTTCTTCAACTGTTGGGGGCAAAATATGATCATTTTTTAGTTGATTCAGAACCAGAATCTTTTTCTTTCTTTGCAAATCAGAAAAAAATGAAGAGGTGAATCCGAGAACCAACAAATTAAATTGGTGTGGCCTACTCAAAACTGTCAATACTAGTACTAGAGAGAAATTCTGTATCTGGGTGCTCTTGACTTGTTTTGCTTCTGTATACTTCTATGAATAGTGTTATGTAATGAAGTAAGAAGAATACAGCAGCTGTACATGTTTTTGTGACCTTTTTACTTTTAGCCTCAGGAGAAACAACTTTGTCCTTGTCCTGATAGGTAAATGCAGACAGTACATGTACATACATGTAATGACCACCTGGCTATTGTCACCACTTTTTTGTGGACTTACAAGGACAAATGTACTAGTAAGCCTCAGATAATTTTCCCCATTGACAAGAATGTAAGCATAATCGTTTGAATAAGGCCACAACAATTTATTTTGTTGTTTCTCGGATTGCCCTGTCCATTTTTGTCTGATTTGCAAAAAAAAACAACAACTTTGCAAACATGCAAAATGCAGACATATTTTGGCCCCAGTGGTTGAAGAAAGTCTGTTTCTTCCTAGTTGTTCAAGTTTTTCAATGTAACAATGCAATTTTGTTTGAAGTTCATTAAAACTTCAAAATCTATTGTTTTAATTATAAACCAGCCTGGTATGTTCACTTCATATTGTAACATTTCTGGCTATCATGGGGTCTGTTGTTTTTTTTTGCCCTGTCGCTTCATATTTTTTCTGGAAAAATCCAAAAACCAACAAATTAAATTGGTGTGGCCTAATCATATTTAACTTTGACATTTACATTGGCCCGTGCCACAATGACACATATGCAGCACAAAGACACATTGTGACATCCAACTGTAAACACTAAGGCTACTTTTAACTTATTGTATCCACGAGGCCAAAATAATTGTACTTTGTTGGTTCTAACTTTTAATCTTAAAGTTTAAACTTGAACATTTTCATCTGATTTGCCAAGAAAAAAATCAGGACTTCTAACTACAAAATGTTCAAATATTAAGCCCAACAGTTTAAAAAAAAGCTCTTGTCTTCATATATACATGTATTCTTAGACTAGTAAGTAATTATAGTTTTTAAATCTATTTTTATCATTACATCTTTGGTTTGTCTAATTATGTATGTAATTTAATAAAAATTATAAAAACAAGTTAATGGCTAGTCTGTTGTAACATTTGGGTTTATCGTAATAAGGTGTTTCAAGCAATATGTTGCTTTTCCTTGCCCTGACTCTTCATATATTTCTAAAAAAAGTCTAAGAAACATTTATAACAAGTTAAATTTGTATATAGCCTGAACTGTAATTAAGGCCATGTTGATTTGATTATATGGATGACATCCACACGCGCATGAATTTCAGGCCATTTAAAAAAAAAAAAGTTTTCAACCATACTGTAAATCCTACAAAACAGTGCAAAATGAGCAAATAGACCGTAAGTTGCAAAAAATATTAAAAAATGATTACCAACGTCATAGAATGCCAAAATCAAACAAAAAAGATGATAATGTAAAAAAAAAAAAGAATTTGAAGAGTAGATTTATAATTCACCAAACCATACTCTGTGTCATTTGTTCAACCTACATGACCACATAGATTTCATAATATAAGAAATTTTTTTTCAAATTTTTTTTTAATCTGCATGCCTGCATCAGTTTTGGGGTTTCCAGAGGATGTCATCCATATAATCAAATCAACATGGCCTTATCTTGTGAACCCATTTACAGTGAACCCATTTGCAGTGAACTAACTTGCAGTACTATCAACTATATTTTCTGTTTAGAAACTTAGAGCGAAGCTGTCACAGTACGCAGAAAAAAGATATTGATGGAGGCGTTCCTGGAATACTGCGCGTGCTGTCTGTGCTGCGGCTGTTATCCCGCCCGACAGTACCGCGGTGACCTGTATGAGCCACTCCTATTGGACAACGAAAGAGAGGCTGTCAACAGGTTGCTGAGATTTCTGGAACAAAGTAAGACAAGTAACGTTTACAAAGCAAATGTATAATGTTTACCTTTGGACATGGTCTGCCCTCAGCTGTTAATTCTTACTCAAACACATTCACATGCATGCACTACTTAGTATATGGTGACAGGAACAGAGTAGACCATGAAATTGCAACATTACGTAACCCAACACCAGTCACCATGGTGACAGACGTCAACAAATCTTGTCATTGGTCAGGTCAGAGGTTAGTGTTTGGAACAGAAGAGTAAAAACAATATGTTTTCCTTCGGTAAACAAAAACATGAATATTGAATTTCGGAGCAGAATCAGCGAAATTTAACATAGATCATGATACAAAACTGTGTACAGCCTAGGAAAAAATGTTGTGTTTCCTGTTTCAGTCCTGAAAAAATTAGGGTCGGTAGGTAGAGATTTTTTTCTTCCTATTATTATATGAATATTTTTGTTATTAATATACATGGCCAATTTTGAATTTTGTTGTGTGTCACGAGTTTATTAGCCATAAACAGGCACATATTTACTGTGCGTCATCTCAACTTTGGCAACACAGTTTACTGTAAACTAATATGTTTTAACTAAACACTACGTCATCAGCCTTTGTTGGCAAATGGTTTTACATGCTTGAGTAACATACTTGCTCCTAGAAATGGCTGCATCCACTAGAAAATTTCTTAACAACAGGTTACTATAGGTACAATACATGTATGTGTTTGTAAAAATTGGTATCCAATGCGATTTCAGGGCAGAAAACAGGAAAATATTCTGAATAAGGCAATCTTTGTGATATTGACACAGACTGATTCACATTAGCACATTTCAGTCAGTATTTCATACTTTGGGCATTTAAAACAGCAGAAACAAGCCCCAAGATGAGTCCGTTATTTTCTGGGTGGTACCCTAAAAATCAGCCTCAGGTCCTTTTTCAGTAACCATTTTCCGTTAGAATTTAGGGAATTTTTCCTCCATAAGGGACAATATATACATGGGACAGTGTGGTTTCAACTAAAGAGTATGTTGATAAATGACTAAAATATTGGATTTGAAAACTCAGGTTTCCAAGCCTTAAAAACTGCACAGGATTCCTTTAACCTGTTTAAACATTAGCCTTGAGTACCTTCTAATTAACACTGGTCACTTCAATTTTGGAATGTCACTTTCCGAATTTGCAGACGGCCATGTTGAAATCCCTGATTTTCAACTTTGCCATTTCTGCAGGTAAAGTAAATTTTTACATACCATTAGAAAGATCATGTTATCCTCAGTACCAGGTTATTTTTTTATGGTCAAAACATACATATTTGTCAAGATATTTCACTTTAAAAATTGCAATCCCGTCGGTGTACAAGCCACACCGACGGGATCAGAAGCCCACCCCAGTCGGTAGTAAACTCTACCCCGTCGGGGTGGAAAACCACCCTGCACCCAGACCGCATCCAATTATCCTCATGAACACCCCATGAAAACCACTGAATTAATGAGAATTCACATCTTCACACCAGTGTAATTAGCAAGTTTGTGTGATAATTCATGAGAAGTCTGGGCTCAAAGGTTACCCCGACGGGGTTGGACAGCCCCGTTGGTGTGTTGAACAGCCCCGTCGGTGTGTCAGGTTGAACAGGCTGGGCTAATGGCCTAAGCCTTCAGACCAGACTGAAAGTAATTTCCCAATGAAGTTTAAAAAATTAACATTAAACTTGCTTCTAGGTTGATGGCGGTTTATACACAGTTTATTATATCACTTCATTATTGTAGTTCTGTGTGTATTCCTGCAGTTTTTCTAGACTGTATTTTCCAGGATTATGAAAGAACATTGTCTTCAAAGATACAAATGAGTCATGGATATCTCTGACATGGCAGGAATGGATATGATTGACCAGTCAACCTGCTCCACATGAGTGCCATATATATGTACATGACGTGTACAATCCTGTACTACTGTAGGTCCTAACAAGGAGGTTAAAAATCTAGTCTTTGTCCACCAATACCTAGCTCACTGTAGGATGAATTCTAGCAAGGCCTCAGGTTATAACCTCTAGCCTGGCTAACACTAAGAATAGAGTTTGGACATGGCTAAAAATTTAATAAACGTTGATAACAACTTTTCAAACTCCATGGATAAACTCATCTATCATTAGCAGAATACACCAGGGCTCAAAATATTTTTCACTGCATACCTGAACTGGTGCAGTAAACATTTAACCTGCACCAGACAAAGAAGACAAATTTTGCTTGCACTTTGGCCACACCAAGTTCATTTATTGGTTAACGGATTCACCGCTTCATTTTTTTCTGATTTGCAAATAAAAATAAAAATTCAAAATCAACTGCAAAATGCTCATATTTTGCCCTGAACAGTTGAAAACAGTCCTTTCCTTACTACTTGTTACAGTCATTCCATCTTTCAATGCAATGGTATCATTAAAAGTTCAAAATGATTGTTTAAATTTTGAACCAGCCTGGTGTGCGGACTGCATGGCTCCTATCGTACCATTTTGGGCCATAATAGGAAGCCTAGGCCTGTTTTTATTTTTATTTTTTTTCCGCCCGCTCCGTTATTTTTCTAGAAAATCCGATAACCAAGAAATTAAATAGGTGTGGCCTTACTCAGACTTTGAGAAGTATGCATCATAATAAAATCTGTAACCATTGCTATTATTTTTTTATACTTCATAGGTGCTAACAGTCAATGCAGCAAACAAAAATACACATACTACTACATGTATCTATAAACCCATGGCCAAGTGCAATGTTAGGTGCCAGATAGCAGAAAATCTGACTGGATGAAGGGCCAAATAGTCAATTACAATGTTCTTTAGTTTTCACATGGGCTATCTTTCTGGCTTTTCCTGGGTGACCCAGTACAAGCTGCCGAGATACTACCAGTAATTACCTTCGCCAAGAAGGTTATGTTTTCGTTGGCGTTCGTGTGTCTGTGTGTGTGTGTGTGTGTGTGTGTGTGTGTGAGCACGATAACTCAAGAAGGCTAAGATGGATTGTCTTGATACTTGGTAGGTGGGTAGGTCTTCATGAGACGTGGAACTGATTAGATTTTGGGCCCCCTAACGGCTTGTAATGGTACTGCAGCTGAACTTCCGGTTTTGATATCTTGTGATCTAGACATGCTAGGGTGACGAAATTTGGTTGTTAGGTAGCTCTTGTGCTGGGGAACAAGTGACGTGAGTTTGGACCCCCTAGCGGCTTGCTCTGGAATTGCAGGGGCATTAGTTGAAAAATGTTTAAAGGCGGATAACTCAAGAACCGATTGATGGATCGTCGTGATTTTTGGCATGTAGGTAGCTGAAGTGATGCTTGACATAATGTTATTACAATTATGCAAATATTAATTGAATTTGCATAATTAATGAGGAAATTCTATATATCAGCTGCATTCCATGATAGGACTATTCAAGCTTGTGATATATGTAATGCAGAACGGCAGAAATACAGGCAGATATCGATTATGCAAATAAAGACTTAATTTGCATAATTAACGAGAAAATGTTATAATTACATAGTGGTAATGTCTGGAATTTTATACTTGGGATATTTGAAAGTTATGTGAAGGTGAACATTATTAAACATAAATTTATTCAAATAAGGACTCATTTGCATAATTTATGAGGAAATGCTATAATGGCATGCATTAATAAAGATAAGACTGTCTTCTGGTGTAGAAT